TTTCGAACAAAAAAAAAAAAAAACAGAATCGGGGCAATTTGATTTCCTTCAAATTGGACGCAATCTGTTTTTGATTTCCTTTAAATCGGGGCAATCTATTTTTGTGCCTGAAGTTTAGTCTAAATTTCCTTCAAATTGGACGCCCATTACATTTGATTTCTTAGGGGCAATTTTGTACTTTATAACATTTACGTGGATTGAATTCAATTTTCTCTTTCTTTTCACAACTAATCCTACATCAATCCAACATAACAAACACAGGATAAAAATAATCCAAACAGTATAATCCCACAAGTTTGGATTATTTTTCTCCAATCCCATCCCACCAAACAAATATGGGCTTAGTGCATAACTTTAGTTGTTGTGACATTTTCAACTCTTATTATTATAATAAAAAAGTTAATCAAATTTAAGTTCAATGTGAGATATGCCTCTTCAACAACTTTTAATTCTCATTAAATGACTTACTTTATTTATTTATTTTCCCACACAGTAAAATCAGTATTTAGAACCATCAACATACTCACTACGTAAAATTATTCTACACAATGTAATTCAACAAAAATAAAAATTTTAGCCATAAAAAATCGATCAAAATTGAATATTTTTTTTTTTAATAACTGAGTTTTGTTTTCTAACATGGTTATGTCATAGTTTGAATTTTGTTTCATCATATAGTTTTTTTTCTTTTTCTTTTTCTGAAGGCTATCTTTAATCGATTTAGTGGTTGTCTCATGGGTAAAGTTTTATTTCGTTGGTTGTTTGTTAAAAAGGATAATAAAGTAATTACGGTATCGGTTATTTGTATAACAACTTTCATTATTATTTAAGAGTACTCTCCCTCTGGAACTTTCGCCCAAAATTCCCGATCCCTCTTTCCTCCATCGTCTTCTGTCAAATTAGTCCGTAATCTCGGCCTTCTCCGGCGATTAGCCGGCTGATGACCGATAGCCTCGTCATGTTGCCCCGATTCCTTGCTTTCTAGTGCCTCTACACCGATGGCGTTTCTCCTCCGCCGTCGGTAGGTCTCGCTGATTCTCGACTGTTGGTGGTGGTCCCGCCCACTAATTTGCTGAGTCGAGTCGAGTCACAGGTGGTTGCCATAGGTCGCCTTCATCCTTGGAGCGATTCCGCCGTTGGCTCGTTGACCGGTCTCAAGTGGAAGGTCGGCCGCTATGCGTTTGGTTCGAGGAGGTTCGTGGTGAGCAACTTTGTTGAGGTGAGTGGTCGGGGTTGGGTGCGACCCTGGTGCTTGGCTTGTCTGAGTCACGTTGACCGGGGCTGAGGGCATTGATTGGAGCCTGTGGAGACATACGTATGTTGGTCCGGTCTTGGGCAACTAGTGTGTGGGGTCTGATTGATGTCCCTCTGGCTATAGGTCGGCTTCATCCTTGGCGTGGTCCGGTCTGGGGCAACTGTGTGTTAGTGTTTTAATGTGTTATTGAGTATTACTCCATTGGAGTCGGCTCTAGGTGGTCTTTTGACTGTCCTCCCACTTTTTCAGCCGTTGGCTGCTTGTATTCAGCCGTTGTCTGTTTGTATTCAACTGGTGGTTGTACTTTTGTATGNAACAATAGATGGTCTTATTTTAACAATTTTTATTCGAGCGTTTCTTAAACTTTTAAGAAATTATATTATATTATTATATTTACTTATTTTTAAAAATTATAGGGATAGTTGGGATTATTTATTTTCTTTTACTCATTTCTTTTGCTTATTATCTCCTAAAATAAGATCATTCAATTACCAAATATTTCTACACATTTCTTGATTCTTAATATTCATTAATTCAAATAATCCGAGTTATCAATCATTAGCATACCTATTCTCTCATATGTTCACATTTTTCTCGTTATCAATCATTAGCATACCTATTCTCTTTCACATTTTTCTCTCTTAAAGATGGCCAATCCTATCTCCAATAATTTTATGGAGCCATCTACCACTTAATATATTAACACTTGTCTAAAGTGTATTTATTGCAGGACACGTGTCAATACACTATTGGTGAATAAGTATGGATGACTCCATAAACCGAATCATTCGATGGCTCCATAGCAAAACTGATCCTATCTCTCTCCTAAAAGATTAACATAAATAAAATGCAAATGCAAATATGTTTATTTGTTCCCTCCTTAGCACATTTGGTCAAAATGGGTGGCCGAACTGGGTGTAATTTCCAGGAAATTGAGAAATATATTAGCAAGAAGCAAAATAATATTTTGTGAAAGTAAAATAAATGTAATTAATTATGCAAAATAGGGAAAAAGTATATAAAAGAATGGAAAAAGACGTCAATTTAATTGTTCCCATTTGGGATGTACACACGATTTGCACATGCATGGAAATTACAATTCCATTTCCTTGAACTCAAAAAGAAAGGAAATTGTCTAAAGTGGAACTTGTACACTATAAAAAATAAAAATAAAATTGTACACTATCATCATGGAATATGTACAA